ATGAACGAAATTTTAAACAGAACTACCAACCGGTCATTGAAAATTTAAAGTTGAACGCCTCGTTTGCGATATTAGTTCGCTCATGTTAAGAAGACGCATTCAATGCGTATTCATACTTGTGTATCATTCGCAATTCGCATTTATTCAATGTTGCAATGTCAAGAAAATAACAATAAACCCATGAAATTGTAAAAAAAGGGAGTCGAGGTTTATGGCCAGGGAGGTGCTGCCGGACCCAATTTTTTGAGCGACTGACGTCAACCGGAAGTGAGGCATTTTCGCTTTTAGTATTCCTTGACGGTACCAAAATTGTACTGGTAAGTGTCTTTAGCCTTATCCGAAACCCTTTACCTTTTATCCTTATACCCGAAAATCTGGCATACCCATTGCCCAAGAATGAAAAACTCCACTTCTGGTTAACGTGCGTCACTGAAAAGTGACGCACCTAATATCAGCAAAGTCTCCTTTGCTTATAAGCTCCCTAACTACCTGTGTACACGACATGATACATGCATCCAAGCGAATGCAGTCATTTAAACAAGGTGTAAAACACATGACTTACGCATTAATAGTGCAATATCATGAGGCTTGAAATGTGAACGGGAGACGAAAAAATACAGGCACTCGAGATTAGAACGTGCTCTCCTTAAACGTTGAACGCAATGCCAAACTGAAGAGCAAATTTCAAATAAATTTTAAATATTCCTGACATAATATGGACTCTGCAGCTGATACTTTCACATGGAAATGAAGCATGCTGATTGTTCAGACTGCTGAGGAATGGATTAAACTCGAAGGTAAACGAGGATTCACTCTCCTCTACGGGTTTGTAAGTAGTGGTCCGTCCGGCTGATGTAGGCGTTATTGACCAAGCTTGTTCTGTCTAGCTAGATGTTACAATTAATTCAGCCTACTTTTCAAAATATAGAGTCCCTGGTCGGTACTCTATACTCAGTCCGCGTTTTATACCCATTCCGTAGTCTGTGGCCCATATTCCGCATTCTACTGCGCAGTCTTAGTCTACCCACAGGCACGTTGGGTCAGCTATGGTTCCACAGTTTGAAACACTTTGCAAAACATGTGGGAAGAGTTCAATTCCAGGTCTGCTCACTGTGCCACTGATGATGCATGCATGATCATGAATGGCAGACCTTCTGAGTAGACTACTTAATTTGAAAATTAACAAATGTTTATTATCCTGTTTACATTAGTGAGTAAATAACTGTATCATAGCTATTTCTAATTTTTTTGACGTCATTGCTAAATGAGTATTTACCAAAATACATTTTGGCTGTTTCCCCCGCAGTTGTATTGTGGTCAATGGTCACAAACTGTGTCGTCATTAATGTACTGATGTAGTTCATCATCATCTTCATCATCAATCTTTATTTATACACGAAATCGTATCATTTTTACATTGTCTTCCTAGGAATCGTGTGTAAAATTACACTGAAATACTCTAGGGAACTACTTGATTATTAAGTGAAAAACACGAAAACGTACACTGTCCACTGTGCAGTAAAAACTGTTTTTTACCTTACTCTCGGCTATTTTCTTCGAGCTCCCGATAACTCGAACTTTTTTCGATTTCCCTTGAGGGTTCGAGTTATCGGGAGTCGACTGTAGTTACAATGAGCCATGGTGTTTTAAAATAATCTTTCCCATGAAATGGAGTTTTAAAAAGATTTAAACTAGGCACATTTCTAATCTCTGAGGGAATCTTGTTCCACAGAACAGATCCTCTGTAGGGTAGGCTCCCTTTTGCAGACTCAGTTCTGGGTCTGGCGAGAATTTCTATAAGATTATATAAGTGCACATTTGAGGTGTTGGTAAAGATCGGCCTCAGATACGGGGGGGGGAAGGTCATTACGGATTTTATACATTGTCAGAGCCAACTGTTAAAGTCTTACATATTCTAGCCTTTCCCAACCAAGTTCATGCAACAAAACACTCGAGCGAACCTCATACGAAGTTAGAAAAGGTGAGAATTCTAGCAGCCTTATTACGCATCTTTTGAAGTTTGTCTGCTAGTCTCTTATTGATATTACCCCATACAGCGCTACAACAGTAATTAAAATATGGCATTACCAGTGCATTGTACATACTCACTCTAGTATCAAATGGTATAAAATGACTTACACGCTTTAAAGTAGCAATACCAGGGGATATTTTCTTTGAAATGGTGTTAATGTGTGGGCGCCAGTTCAAAGATTCATCAATTTGAACTCCAAGTGATTTATTACTCTTTCTAACGGTGTATTATTGACTTTGACTGTGAAGTCACTATTTATTTGGGATAACTGAAATTGACTCCCTATAAGAATGTATTTAGTCTTCTTAACATTCATAGTTAATTTGTTTGCTACATGACAGCCATGACTGAATTAAATTCAAATCATAATTTATTTTATGTTCAAGGACACATGGGTCTCCTGCAGATGAGGTAAGGGTAGTATCATCTGCATACATTCTTGCCTTTGAAAACAAATTAAATGAAGGGGGATCATTAATATAAATAGTAAATAAAAGAGGGCCTAAGATAGAGCCCTGTGGAATACCACATGTTATATTACAGAAATCAGATTGAGCTCCATCAATAACGGTTCGTTGCGTTCGGTCAGATAGGTAGGACCGGAACCAGGTAAGAGATTGAGAACTGACCCCATAGAGTTTTAAGCTTTCCTAGCAGAATAGCATGATCCAGGTGTCCAGGAATATCACACCATTTAAAAGATTGTTGTCAACATTCCATGGCCATTCATTTGTTACCTTAAGTAAAACTGTTTCGGTAGAAAACATTGCTTTGAAGACAGATTGTGATAAAGTTAACAAGTAATTATTATTTAGATATTCATATAGTTAGTTAAAAACAACTCTTTCAATTTATTAACTCACTACAGGCAGAACTAAGATAGATCAGTAATTGTTAGGATCAGTCCTGAGGTCCTCTTTAAATATTGGCGAAACTCTAGCTCGTTTCCAAGCATTTTGAAATATTCCAGTGGTAATTGAGAGACTCATTTATTGAGTTATTGAGCTGTTGTGTGGTTATTCAGCTATTGTTGGCCAAAAAATAATAATAATGAATAAAAATTATGTCATCTGTTCCTTAAACGACTTATCTTTTCTATATAAAACCTCTATTTCCTTCTGCAAATTCAAAGAAACTTCTTCAGGGTGCCGTGCTGCCGAAATGAGGTTCGGGGAGACCCGGTCTGAACGCGGCCCTGTATAGCCAATGCGAACGCCCTCCTTGAGTGTACTGAGCAGATTATATACAAAGGTTCTATCAGGATGAGTAGCTAATTCTAACTCTAAATGATAAATGTTAATAGGCGCGGATACTAAAGGCATGTGATTATGCCGTTGCTGCTCCACTTTACTTCTTGCTGCGGTCGCTCGGTCTTGGGGCCTTGTTGGCGCTGCTGGGCTGTGACTGGGTGCATTCCGGGGCGGTGTGGGTGCTGGAATAGCAGCGGCGGCACACGTGGGGGTAGCTGCAATTTCGGCGCCGGCAGCCAGAGGACTTGTTGAAGTCGAAGCACACAGTCCGGGGGCGGCGAGATTTTCTGTTAAGGTCAGCAAAAGGACAGACATCCTCAGCGTGATAAGGACTCGAGCAAACATTGCAGTGGGGCTTAGCGAGGCCTGCTAAAGTCACTGTCCATAGCTCAAAGTCTAACTTATCCCAGCTCAGGGACAAGTCATAGGCCGAAAACTCCACTTCTGGTTAACGTGCGTCACTGAAAAGTGACGCACCTAATATCAGCAAAGTCTCCTTTGCTTATAAGCTCCCTAACTACCTGTGTACACGACATGATACATGCATCCAAGCGAATGCAGTCATTTAAACAAGGTGTAAAACACATGACTTACGCATTAATAGTGCAATATCATGAGGCTTGAAATGTGAACGGGAGACGAAAAAATACAGGCACTCGAGATTAGAACGTGCTCTCCTTAAACGTTGAACGCAATGCCAAACTGAAGAGCAAATTTCAAATAAATTTTAAATATTCCTGACATAATATGGACTCTGCAGCTGATACTTTCACATGGAAATGAAGCATGCTGATTGTTCAGACTGCTGAGGAATGGATTAAACTCGAAGGTAAACGAGGATTCACTCTCCTCTACGGGTTTGTAAGTAGTGGTCCGTCCGGCTGATGTAGGCGTTATTGACCAAGCTTGTTCTGTCTAGCTAGATGTTACAATTAATTCAGCCTACTTTTCAAAATATAGAGTCCCTGGTCGGTACTCTATACTCAGTCCGCGTTTTATACCCATTCCGTAGTCTGTGGCCCATATTCCGCATTCTACTGCGCAGTCTTAGTCTACCCACAGGCACGTTGGGTCAGCTATGGTTCCACAGTTTGAAACACTTTGCAAAACATGTGGGAAGAGTTCAATTCCAGGTCTGCTCACTGTGCCACTGATGATGCATGCATGATCATGAATGGCAGACCTTCTGAGTAGACTACTTAATTTGAAAATTAACAAATGTTTATTATCCTGTTTACATTAGTGAGTAAATAACTGTATCATAGCTATTTCTAATTTTTTTGACGTCATTGCTAAATGAGTATTTACCAAAATACATTTTGGCTGTTTCCCCCGCAGTTGTATTGTGGTCAATGGTCACAAACTGTGTCGTCATTAATGTACTGATGTAGTTCATCATCATCTTCATCATCAATCTTTATTTATACACGAAATCGTATCATTTTTACATTGTCTTCCTAGGAATCGTGTGTAAAATTACACTGAAATACTCTAGGGAACTACTTGATTATTAAGTGAAAAACACGAAAACGTACACTGTCCACTGTGCAGTAAAAACTGTTTTTTACCTTACTCTCGGCTATTTTCTTCGAGCTCCCGATAACTCGAACTTTTTTCGATTTCCCTTGAGGGTTCGAGTTATCGGGAGTCGACTGTAGTTACAATGAGCCATGGTGTTTTAAAATAATCTTTCCCATGAAATGGAGTTTTAAAAAGATTTAAACTAGGCACATTTCTAATCTCTGAGGGAATCTTGTTCCACAGAACAGATCCTCTGTAGGGTAGGCTCCCTTTTGCAGACTCAGTTCTGGGTCTGGCGAGAATTTCTATAAGATTATATAAGTGCACATTTGAGGTGTTGGTAAAGATCGGCCTCAGATACGGGGGGGGGAAGGTCATTACGGATTTTATACATTGTCAGAGCCAACTGTTAAAGTCTTACATATTCTAGCCTTTCCCAACCAAGTTCATGCAACAAAACACTCGAGCGAACCTCATACGAAGTTAGAAAAGGTGAGAATTCTAGCAGCCTTATTACGCATCTTTTGAAGTTTGTCTGCTAGTCTCTTATTGATATTACCCCATACAGCGCTACAACAGTAATTAAAATATGGCATTACCAGTGCATTGTACATACTCACTCTAGTATCAAATGGTATAAAATGACTTACACGCTTTAAAGTAGCAATACCAGGGGATATTTTCTTTGAAATGGTGTTAATGTGTGGGCGCCAGTTCAAAGATTCATCAATTTGAACTCCAAGTGATTTATTACTCTTTCTAACGGTGTATTATTGACTTTGACTGTGAAGTCACTATTTATTTGGGATAACTGAAATTGACTCCCTATAAGAATGTATTTAGTCTTCTTAACATTCATAGTTAATTTGTTTGCTACATGACAGCCATGACTGAATTAAATTCAAATCATAATTTATTTTATGTTCAAGGACACATGGGTCTCCTGCAGATGAGGTAAGGGTAGTATCATCTGCATACATTCTTGCCTTTGAAAACAAATTAAATGAAGGGGGATCATTAATATAAATAGTAAATAAAAGAGGGCCTAAGATAGAGCCCTGTGGAATACCACATGTTATATTACAGAAATCAGATTGAGCTCCATCAATAACGGTTCGTTGCGTTCGGTCAGATAGGTAGGACCGGAACCAGGTAAGAGATTGAGAACTGACCCCATAGAGTTTTAAGCTTTCCTAGCAGAATAGCATGATCCAGGTGTCCAGGAATATCACACCATTTAAAAGATTGTTGTCAACATTCCATGGCCATTCATTTGTTACCTTAAGTAAAACTGTTTCGGTAGAAAACATTGCTTTGAAGACAGATTGTGATAAAGTTAACAAGTAATTATTATTTAGATATTCATATAGTTAGTTAAAAACAACTCTTTCAATTTATTAACTCACTACAGGCAGAACTAAGATAGATCAGTAATTGTTAGGATCAGTCCTGAGGTCCTCTTTAAATATTGGCGAAACTCTAGCTCGTTTCCAAGCATTTTGAAATATTCCAGTGGTAATTGAGAGACTCATTTATTGAGTTATTGAGCTGTTGTGTGGTTATTCAGCTATTGTTGGCCAAAAAATAATAATAATGAATAAAAATTATGTCATCTGTTCCTTAAACGACTTATCTTTTCTATATAAAACCTCTATTTCCTTCTGCAAATTCAAAGAAACTTCTTCAGGGTGCCGTGCTGCCGAAATGAGGTTCGGGGAGACCCGGTCTGAACGCGGCCCTGTATAGCCAATGCGAACGCCCTCCTTGAGTGTACTGAGCAGATTATATACAAAGGTTCTATCAGGATGAGTAGCTAATTCTAACTCTAAATGATAAATGTTAATAGGCGCGGATACTAAAGGCATGTGATTATGCCGTTGCTGCTCCACTTTACTTCTTGCTGCGGTCGCTCGGTCTTGGGGCCTTGTTGGCGCTGCTGGGCTGTGACTGGGTGCATTCCGGGGCGGTGTGGGTGCTGGAATAGCAGCGGCGGCACACGTGGGGGTAGCTGCAATTTCGGCGCCGGCAGCCAGAGGACTTGTTGAAGTCGAAGCACACAGTCCGGGGGCGGCGAGATTTTCTGTTAAGGTCAGCAAAAGGACAGACATCCTCAGCGTGATAAGGACTCGAGCAAACATTGCAGTGGGGCTTAGCGAGGCCTGCTAAAGTCACTGTCCATAGCTCAAAGTCTAACTTATCCCAGCTCAGGGACAAGTCATAGGCCGCCCGGCGACAGAACAGCTGGTCGTACGATAGCCAGGCCAAACCCTTAAATTTAGCGACTGCTCTGCTAATAATTTGCTGGTATTTGATAAGCTCGAGTGCCCGTCGTGGGTAGGCATTCACAAGTACTAACATGTAGGTCATGTAAGCGTCGAGCCACTTGGGGAAGGTATTAATTACTCGTTTTTTCTTTCCAACCAACCCGTGGGGCCTGAGAACGAGTCGTCCAAACGGAGCTGAATTTCAGGGGTCTGGGACTGGTATAACGTATCGGGCAAAAGTAACGCAAAGTCAATGTACTCACCCCAGAGTATTTTGTCCTCTAAAGTCTTGTCTACTGGCCTAGAAAGACCTAGAGGGGAAGCCATGCCAGGCCTGAAGAGATTTTAAGGCGAGGCAGAAGGAAGATGCGCGGCTGGTGAAGGAAGATGGGCGGCTGGCGAAGTTTGAAGCGTTGTTACGGCGGAGCGGACT